TCGGCCTGAAGAAGCTAACATCCATATTATTCTTACCAGCAGGCATTTGTTCTTTTCCTATTAAAGGGTGCCATTTAATGAGCATGTTTTCCCATCCCTTATCATCAAAAAACAGATGTTTGGTTTCAATTTTAAGGGAAACATTTCCCACATTTGTTTGCTTAGGATTACAGCATACAAATTAAGGAAATAAGCAGCTGAGGGCAAGAAAATTGCTACATGTATTCTAATGGCAGCATATGGTTGGTGATTTCTGGCATTTTTTAAGAGAAGGATGGGTAAAGGCAATGTAGTGTTTGAAGAGCAGCAACAGAGCATTCTTCATTCACAGTGTGAGTCTAGATTGCAATCTATATGGCATACATTCTTATTAAGAAGTTGAATACTAGTTGAGCCATCAGTCTTACCCTTTTCCCCATGATTAAAATAGGCTGTCCATTTTGAATTTCAATAAAACATCAGGTGCCAGTTATGTGTTTTTATATTTACTCTTCACCTTACTAATAAAAATTCATTCATTAAAAAAGGGTAAAACTGCTCTAAAAATTGGGAGGGAAATGTAAGTTTGTGACATCATAAGTAGCAGCCAACCGGTAGCCTTTACAGCTAGCTTTTCTTTAATTCAAAGTGAGCATCGCTCTCCACATCAGCTTGCCCCAGTCAGGCACAGAATCACAGAGACTAAGGGGCAACCAACTCCTGTGATGTAAAAAACCTAGGTCCTGCCCACTTAACTAGAATGCAAGTCCCATCTTACTTTGGAGTCAACATTCTTAAGATGGAACTAAAACTTTGAATGATTAAAGTTCTTTGTACTGCGTGGCTTTAAAAGGGCTGAAATAGTCTGGAGGGAGTTAGGATGGGTGTGGGGAATAACATTCTCAACAAACCTAGAATTTTCTCCTCAAACCCAGGGGAATGAGCTTTGGGTTTCTTCCAAGTCTCCAGATTCTAGCAAGCACCACAAAAGCTGGTGACAGAGGAGGGGGGAAACACAGGCAAAGATTAATCCTTGCTTTGCCTCAGAGATTGGTTCTGCTGCACATTTCCAGGACATATGCAGAGGACAGTTAAAAAAAACAAACCTACCTGTAGCCAGACCAGTCTAGACAACAAGTAGTGAAATTTATTCAAGTGTTGAAAAGAGGATAAAGAAATGGCTATTTCCACCTGAGGGACAAGGTAATTCTTTCACAAATCTTACACGAAGACCAACACCAATGATTAAAATATGTCTAACTTATACTTCCTCAAACACTAACAAGTACTTCCTTAAAGATTAACAAAATTTGTGGCAGGGTATGAGCTGTTGTGATTCACTGCTCACTTCTTCAGATACACCTAGAATGTGACACCATTAACATTCTAGCTGTATGGACTCACACTCTAGTAGCATCTGAAGAAGTGAGCAGTGACTCATGAAAGCTCATACCCTGCCACAAATTTTGTTGTCTTCAAGGTGCTACTGGACTTGTGCTCTTTTCTACTGCTGCGGACAGACTAACACAGCTACCCTTAAACTGAGTTACATCCTTCTTTGTCCAGGAGTCCCCAGCCTTTTTGCACATGCAGGCATCTTTGGAATTCTGACACAGGGTGGTATGTGTAACCACAAAATGGCTGCCACAGAAGGTGGAGCCAATCACAACATCTCTAATAGTAACTCTTCAACATTTCAGGCAGAAGCTCTGTTTAACAGGATGCCTTTTTAAATGAACATATTGTTTTTAAATATTTTCTTGTATATACACAGCTTACTTTCAGTCACGCAGTGAAGATCCTTGTACTGCGGTAGCAGCTGCTGCCAAAACAATGGTGTTGAAAGTCTGCACAGACAATATTTCTAGTGGCTAGTCAGAAGCCCTGTTGGGCCAAAGCCCCACCTGGTCCTGGCCCCTTTCCAAAAACACTTGGTGTGCACCAGAACAGGTATTGACAGGAGCCATGTTGCAAACCCTTGTACTATTGTCAGAAAATACTTTAAACCATGTGATAAAAGGCTATAACACCTCCACTTATAGGGAGTAGTTTCTAGTACTACTGGTTTACTGGTTTATTTTCCTATCACCTTCAATAGGTTCATGCTGCCCCCTCCCCTAGTAAAAAAACACACACATTTGTACTCACTTATGTTTTGTGGTTGTATTATGATTCGGCACAAATATATTGTATAGAATGGTTTAATTTTAACTGGCATTTGATGATCATCAGATTCACTGGCCTTTTAAATAAATAAATAAATAAATAAATATGTTGAGATTGTCTTTGAATGAATGCCACATTTTCCCCCAAGGAAATATACTCCCACTCACTGTCAATGAACTTAAATACTCTGCTGAAAGAAAAGAACCATTCTGATTTCAAGATGGTACTGCCAGATGCAAAGATAAACATTTACTTTGAAGCATTGTTCATATATACTCTTTTTCCTTCTGGAATCTGTACTCACACTTGTCTAGGTCACCTTAACTTTTGATCTCTAAATCACCCCATCTATATTGCATGCCATTTAAGCAGAGACGTCACAGTTTGAAATAATCCCTGCTCATCTGGGTTTTAAACACAGGCTGCAATCCTAAAAACACTTTCCTGGATGTAAGCCCTATTGAATAAAATGGAACTTACTTCTGAGTGAGTTAGGATCCTACATTGTCCTTAATATATGCAAGCACTAATGGTCATGATCCCCATTTGCTAATAGTTAGAGAATGAGTTAGGGCCTTTATGCCCTGCTTGTAGGCTTCCCAGAAGCATTTGGCTGGCCGTTGCAGAAGATAACAGGGTGCAGAATTAAATGGCTCTTTCTTCTGATAGAACAGGGCTTAAAATGTATCCAGCTAGTTCAATGGAACCTTGATAATCTATTTGTTTCATATTTATATCCTGCATTTCTTCTAGGGCTCCCAACTCCTGGTTGAGAAATTCCTAGATATTTGTGGGTGGAGCCTGGGAAGGGGAGGGGCCTCAGCAGGGTATAACACTCTAGAGTCCATCCTCCAAAGCAGCCATTTTTCTCCAGCTGAACTGATCTCTGTAGTCTGGAGAGCGATTGTAATTCTGGTAGATCTCCAGGCCCCACCTGGAAGTTGGCAAGTTTCTTCCCCATGGGAACTCAAAGCGGCTGACTTTGTTCTCCATTTTGTTCTCACACAACCCTGAGAGGTATGTTAGGCTGAGAGTGTGTGGCTGGCCCAAGGTCATCCAGCAATCTTCCATGGCAGAGTGGGGGTTTGAACCTGGGTCTCCCAGATCCTAGTTTAGCACTCTAATCACTACACTATAGTGGTTCTGCATATGAGTGTTACCAGGGCCGGATTTAGACTTGTTGAGGCCCTAAGCAATACAAAACCCAGAGGCCCCCTACTGTTTTAAATTACATCAGCTGGTCTCAGAAAAATTAAAAATATATATGCCTTTTAAATATTTGAAATCATTTTTTATATTGTGTTTTTATTTGAGGCCCCAGCAGATTGCAAGGCCCTAAACTGTAGTTTATTTAGCTTATGCGTAAATCTGGCACTGAGTGTTACACATGCATCATTGCATTCACATGTGCGTAGAGTGGTGCTTCCATTCTCTTACTAGCTCAATCTAAACACTGTAAGAGTGCTAGTATAACCTGCAAATGGATGCCATTGAATCTCTGGGTTTTATTTATAATTATTTAATATATTTCAGCAGATTAGTCTATTGTTTTAAGTCACTGCATATTTATGTAGATAGAATAAAACTTCTTTAAAAGCAAAATCACCTTCCCAACGGAATCAGTTCCAAATTTATTTTAATGGGGTTTGAGTACACCCATTATATTGCAGGTAAACTAATGTAAAGTATTCCAGTTAAGGCTTTTACAGTTGAGGAAACGACACTCACTCTTGGAAAGTGACTTACAGTGCTAGACCATTTCCCTAAACTCACTTAATGCTAAGTTTGATTATAAGCTTTTGTGTGCATGCACACTTCTGGGTAATAAGCCTTTGTGTGGATGCACACGAAAGCTTATAGCAAGAATTAAACTTTGTTGGTCTTAAAGATACCACTGGACTCAAATTTTGTTCTGTTGCTTCAGACCAACACAGCTGCCCACTTGAATTCTTTAATGCTGTCATTCTGATCCTGAATTTTTTCCCCACATAAGCAAAGTCCCGCTGATTCTTTTGGAATGGGCATTGAAGTGTAATCTTATCTAAATAGTATGCAGAGGATAGTTATTATTGTATCGTATAATTATTGTAATCTGCAAACAGGGTTGCCAATCTCCAGGTTAGGGTTGCCAGATCTTGGTTGAGAAATACCTGGATACTTTGAGGGTGGATCCTGAGGAGGGCAGGGTTTGGGGAGGGGAGGGATTTCAATGGGGTATAATGCAATAGAGTCCACCTTCCAAAGAGGCCATTTTCTCCAGGTGAACTAATCTCTGGGGCCCCGGGAATCAGTGGTAATCTCGGGAGATCGCCAGCCACCACCTGAAGGTTGGCAACCCAATTCCAGGTGGGACCTGGAAATGTGACAGAGATCAGTTCCCCTGTAGAAAACGGCTGCTTTGGAGGGTGGATTTTATGGCATTATACCACACTATAAGGGCCTGTTCCTTTCCGAACCCCGCCCTCCCCAGGCTCCACCACCAAAATCTCCAGGTATTTCCTACCCCAGAGCTGGCAACCCTATCTCTAGACATTACACTAACATAGACTACTAGAATAAATCAGTGTAACAGAAACGCTGCTTCTGCGTGATCGCGAGCCAACCAGCACGAACGTACTGCTGGTACAAGCCATTTAAAAAAAATTCTAAATGAACTCAACGTCAGTAAATCAATGTTTTATAAAATCTGCATACTGATTGGCCAAGACCTTCCCGTGTTTTCATACAATGCTTCCGGGACATTCTGGCGGATAGTTTTCATCTGAACTCGCTCTTTCTCTATGGTTTTGACGTCAACTCCTTCCTGGCTTTGCCATTAGAAAGTGACATGAGAAAACCAGGGGGCGGGATTCGTCTTGAAGAGCAGTTGGGAGAAAAGGGCTGGGAGGAAAGACTAGCTGTCATTGCCTGTGTGCTGCAGACATCTGTGGGCATGGCCGATTGCAGCCAGGCTCCGGTAGCTCGGGCGCTCTTGCAGCAGTGCTTGTATGCTAGGTTACAGGTGAAGCCTCCTGAGTCAGGTTCCGAAGCCGAATGCGTAGAGGTAACTTCTGTACTGGCGGGTTGGTTGCGGAATCGCTCTTACTTTCCTTAGCAGATGCCCGGGGGCGATGGAGTAGCTCGTCTTTTCTTGTGCCTGCCTTCTCTGCAGTCGCCTACTTTAAGACTTCGGATTTCTTATCCGAAATCAACTTCCAACCCGGTTAAAAGAATTTTAAATCTATTGTACATCATCCTGCTTTCTGAAATCATTAAGAGCTTCTGCTGGAGATGATGATAACGCTTAGCAGGATTTTTGCTAGAGTGCCGGAGTCGGACGTGTTTCGGATATACTATTGGAATGATCAGAGGTCACGGAGCGTGGCGGCTGTGAAACGTTTTCACTCTTTTCACTGCTCTTGCTTCCGTCGGGTTTGTGATACGAATGTGAAACGCAATAATATCGCACTACAGATTTGCATTACAAATTGGTGGAAGGGCGATTTAAGCCTCATATGAGGGTGCAGAGCGAATTGTGAACCCGGAAGTCCCTGTTCCCAGCTTCACCTCTGCTACTCATCAGTCCATTGGCCTTGGGCAAGCCACTCTCCGTAAAATACCAACCTTCCTCTCAGTTCAGTCTTCCCTCCTACTGATGTACCTTCCAGGATGGTTGTAAAGAGTATTACTGAGATAATGTAAATGAAGTGCTTTGAGCACTCTAAAGTGCCAGATCAGTTTTAAGTATTGCAAATAACCCCTAGTTTAGTGGTAGAACATTGCTTTGAATGCAAAATGCCCATTTTGACTGAGACAGCCTGGGTTAGATGGACCAATCACCTAAAGCAACTTTATTAATATATTCAGTTTTTGTTGCTTGGGTGACATCCCTCAATAGAGAACAGTGCTTAATTTCTAAAGTGAGAGGGCTTGTAATTAGGCTACTGCCGCAGCCTTAGAACCTCTAATTGCAGGGATGTGGGGATTACATAAATATTATTATGATCTATACATCATTGTGTCCCTGAGAAAAAGGCAAGGCATGCTGACTCAGTAAATGGGACAGAAATAAGGCCCAAGTGTTTACAGAGCTGAGAATGCTGAAGAAAGATTACATATTGTTTTGAAATAACCAGCCAGTTTGTTGTTTTCTGTTACAAATTTATTGGGTAAAGCCTTTTGGGACCCCATCATGGTCCCAAAGAAAAGAGAAATGGGGGAGGACTTTTCTCTAAAGGTCTTAAATTAAAGCAGTGTTTGTATAGGAAGACCTACTGTCCCATCACAGATTATTTATAGCCCTTTGCAGGTATTATGTTGGACTATGTGTACGGGGAGAATGAACTACATGTGATCCTCCTAATTAAAACAGATTTGTCGTCTGAAGGGGGCAACAGGCATATATTTCAGCTGTAGAACACACATTACCACATCATCATCATCATCATCATCATCATTATATTTAATTTAAGAACATAAGAGACGCCAATGTTGGATCAGGCCAAAGGCCCATCCAGTCCAACACTCTGTGTCACACAGTGGCCAGAAATACCAGTGCCATCAGGAGGTCCAGCAGTGGGGCCAGGACATTAGAAGCCCTCCCACTGTTGACCCCCCCAAGCAACAAGAAGACAGAGCATCACTTGCCCCAGAGCCCCTAGCTATACCTTGTGGCTAATAGCCACTGATGGACCTCTGCTCCATATGCTTATCTAATTCCCTTTTGAAGCCATCCATGCTTGTAGCACCCACCACTTCCTGTGGCAGTGAATTCCAAGTGTTAATCACTCTTTGGGTGAAGAA